TAAGGGAACAAAATGAACCTGTTGAAGCAAAAAAAAATTAATAGCGGCAGAAGAGATCAACAATTCCAAAGTTCGGATCTAAAAATTCATTTAAGAAGCAGCAATACAAACGAGTAGGAACCGCGAACCCCGGACGGGATCTCGAATCGGTACCGGAATCTTGAACCCAAACTCGATCTCAAACTCAAACTTTAAACAAATTCCATCTTCAAAACGAAAATTGAAACGTGAAGAGGGCAGAATACTTCTCCTTTCGCAGCTTAATTATCAAAAATCATAAACATTTTTTGACGGATGGAGGTTGACTGGATTTCCTATTTCTATATGTATGTGTATCTTTTAAATTTTGAGAGAGTGAATTTTAATAAAATCTAAAGTGGGTAGGCGTTAGGTTGTCGGCGGCGGCGATTGTGTGTGTGTTCCGTTAGGATTGGTGGCGGCGGCTGGTTGGTTAAAGAGATTAAGGGCTCGTTCTCCTTGGGTCTTTGTTTTTGGGTTTTGTTCCTTTATAATAATGAAAAATTCCAGACCCTTCCTCAATTGCTTGGAGAAAAGAAAAGAGATCACCGTGTGGTCCTATCAGTAAAAAAAATGCCATATTTCTGTATGCAATGTAAAAATGAATGGAATGTGTAGTGGTGTGACGTGGCAGGGAGTTAAGGCGAGGACAAGAATTGTGAATTTCTATTGTGTAAATGAATCCAAAAACGTGAGAGTAGGGAGCGTGAATCTTTGTGATTTTCATTTTTTGCTTTCTTTCTTATTCATTTAAAGGAATGGAAAAAATAAAACCATAAAATAAGAAAACCAACTAGATATAAATCTATATTTTTCTTTTTCTTTGACTTTCTTTAAAGATAAATTGCTAGATGAAAATACTAATTAGCTAAAATTAAAGAAAATATTTTTGTAATTTTTATTTTGTGATAAAATAAAATAAAAGGGTCAAAACTAGTTAAAATAGCGATATTAGACCTAAATAAATATTTAAATGCTAAAATATATAAAATTTCGAGGAGGGTCAAAAATTACATGTCTATAATTGTAATTATATTTTGTTAACTACCAGAAGTGGTATATGCATATGATCACCACAAGTGATAATTTAGGCTTTCTATGGTTACAATTGAAGATAAGCTACATAAATATTCTCTATATTAAATCCACGCCTCGATTTGCTCCTGAAGTAGCAAATATTTTAAAAGAGGTTGAGGCATCACAATTTGATGTGATTAATGCCCATTCAGATAACTATGTTCGATTTCCTGAAGGATGAGAACTTTTGATAATATTAATCCATTCTCTGAAGTGAATGTGGCAATATTAATAAATCTAGTAAATATGAACGCGCTCTTGATGTGAATATATTACAATTCACCTTCAGAAGAGGTAATATAATTAAGAGAATATATACTCAATATTTCGTATTTTGAATTTGCTCCTGAAGAAGTAACACAATTGAAATTGCCTCCTGAAGTAGGAAAATATTATGAAGAAGAGTTTTCTTGTACTTAAACAATTGTTTTACATTGTTTATTTGATTGTGATTTTCTTTCATGACACCAGAAGTGTATGAGCAATATTTGATAGTACAAAACGTATCAACAATTCCTGAAGAGCGAACTGTTTGCCTAGAAGACACATGACACCAGTGGTATCCGATAAATATTAGATTATGGATAATAAATGAAGGCTCTCGAAGATCTTATATACAAATATGTCATTCATATTATATGATAATGGTCAAAACATATGAAGTATTAAACCTGAAGTTTACTAATACAAATGACTATCATATTGAGACTACAAATGACTGGAAGATTGAAAATCTTCATGTTTCCGCGGTCATAAGGGGTAAAATAATATGTATGTGAGAAGTTACCCGCCTTATTCTTCAATTTATGTTATATCATGTATCACAGTAAATCAACAGTTTATTAATGCAAAAGCAGTCACGGTAAATCAGAAGTTTACTAATGCAAAAGTTTATGTCATAGTAAACCAGAAGTCTACTAAAAGATAGAACATGCCATGATAAACTTGAAGTTTTCATTTTCCATTTTTGAATGAGCTATTTAAGAATTCAGATAAGTATATATTGAAGAACTAGAAGATTCTTCAAGAATTCTCATGTGTTGCTTGTTCTCATAATAAATTGATTATACCAACAAAAGTTAGGACTAAGACTCCTGATTCTGAAATATATAAAAGGTGAATATGAGCTCATTCAGTTGTCATGTGAACCACTTATAGATGCATATATATGATGGTTACATGTATGTTTATTTTCAACCTGCAGTTTGGCATTTGAGATTGTTTTTCTCAATTAAGAGCATAACTTTCAAATTATGAAATCAAGACAGTTCATCTTGATAATACTGGTTTATATCCAAGCTGGTTTAACATTGAATACCTCCTACTAATGGCTAAACCATTGCTTATGAGAACGAAGCTTCATGTGTTGTTCTAAGATATTCTAAATTGCATGCATCACTTGTATGCATCAGATCAACAGTATATGATAAAGTCCTCCCCTCACAATTGGTTTAGGATCAGAAATCAAATATTTTTACTATCTTTTGATATGTAGTATATGATTAATTTCTCTACCACAATACACAAAGATATATTTCCCAAAGAAGATTGGGGATATATGTTAATTTTTCTAACATTTGGGGGATGGAATAAATAGTTGAAAAATATGTTATATGAATCGAATTATCATTAATATGATTCTCACTTAGAAGATAATTCAAGTCAAATGCCAGAAGCATTTGCTTATCCAAAATTTAATATCATATTTCAGCTACAAATGCTCCTATTAAAATTAAAGTCCCTGAAGGATAGAGTTTACTGTACGCATGAAGCGTGGTAGACCAATCGGTTCCAAAGGTAAAAATCCTTGAAAAATGGTAGGAGATAATGATCAAAATGATCATAATGAGCAGGAAATAAGCTCTAGAAGAGCCCACGACATAACATTTCATGAAACTCCCGAAGAAGTTCAAGTATCTGAAAATAAAGAAAGTGATAAGATCTCATCAAGTTATGTCGCTTAGGAACTGACACAAAATGATCGTCGACGATATATTTGATACAATATAGTGCACAATATTGTAAAAGATTGTGAGGATCGGAACAACAGTCCAGACACTTGAAGATGTCATACCATTTAGATACAAGTCTTAACATATATGACTTATTTAATTAAATCTATATGAAGATCCTTGAAGGATTGAAAATGCCTGAAGCATATAATTCTCAGTCTTGAGAAATATACTTGATCAAATTATAAAGATCTTTGTACGATTTAAAGCAATCAGTGCGTGTGTGGTATAACCACCTCGGTAAATATTTGCTGAAAAAAGATTACATAAATGATGTTATTTGTTCATGTATTTTTATAAAGAAAATGTCATCAGAATTTGTTATACTTGATGTTTATGTTGATGACATAAAATTTGTTGAAACTCCAGAAGAGCTCCAAAAGGCAATTGAATATCTTAAGAAAGAATTTGAGATGAAAGATCTTGCAAAAATAAAAATTTGTCTTTGGTCTGCAAATTAAATATTTAGTAGACGAGATCTTTATCCATCAATTTGCCTATATAAAAAGGGTTTTTAAACGCTTTTTCATGGACAAAGCACACCCATTAAGTACATCAATGAGTGTTCGATCACTTGAAGTGAATAAGGATCTGTTCCGACCTCCAGAAGAGGATGATGAACTTCTTGGTCCTGAAATACTCTATCTCAGTGTAATTGTTATGCATANTTTCCTTATAAGGTGTTTAATGAGGTACCTAGCAATGTGTATTACTAAATATGTGTACTCTTTTTCCTTCACTAGATTTTTTTCCCACGTGGTTTTTCCTAGTAAGGTTTTAATGAGGCACATTATCTTTTAATGAACATCCAAGGGGGAGTGTTATAAATATATTATATTATGGATGTTCATTTAGTACTCTGTTGTAAATAAGCTTCCTGAAGAAGTTTATTCATATGGGACTCCGCCGTAAATATGTTTATCAATTTAGTACTTTATTGGAAATAAGCCTCCTGAAGAGCTTATCACTTCGGTACCCGGTTATGGATAAACATTAACCCCTGTAGAAGATTATCCATACCGGGCATAATAAGCTTATCCTTTCGATACTCCGTTATGGATAAATATTACCCTCAGTATAAGATTATCCATACCGGGTACAATGAGTTTATTCTTTCAGTACTCCGTTATGGATAAACATTACTCTCAGTAGAAGATTATCCATACCGGGTACAATGAGTTTATTCTTTCAGTACTCCGTTATGGATAAACATTACTCCAGTAGAAGATTATAATGAGCTTATCCTTTTAGTACTCCGTTATGGATAAACATTACTCTCAGTAGAAGATTATCCATATCTGGTATAGTAGCAACATACACATCAGCTCCCTTTCTTCTATAAATAGAAGAGATTTCAATTCATTATGTACATCAGTTTAAATTCAAATAATATATCAGGTTCTCTCTATACTTGTCTTTACTTTACGGTCTTTTTGTTATCTTTACGGTCTTTATTTTATAACAAAAAGGACCGTTTTCATACATTTTGATCTTTTATTCAACGTCTAGTCCAGACATCTTAAACTTTTTTCAGAAAAAGAACACTTATCTTCTTCAGATGTTACTTGAAACATGGTTAGTTTCTTCTAGTTTTTTTTTCTTTCCATCTACGTTATTATAGCCTTCTTAATTGTTTTAAAATTGGTAAATAATGGAAAGATCAAAGCCATCAAATGCTCCTTGAACACATGGTATAAATCAAATGTGCCATTAAGCATTATTGGGCAATCTTCTACTGGAGCAAATCCGGTCCCAAAATATTAGTACCATTTTCCATTTGTTTCTTTATCCAAGCCACACAGGAGAAGATGAGCACACTTTCTGTAATCACAAATAAATTATGTACTGTCAAATTTAGGTTCTACTAGGCTAAGTATAACAAAGAATTTTGCGTACCGAGAACAAAATATATCTTGAATGACAATTTACAATATTTGCGTACCCAGAGGAAAATCCAAACAGAAGAGAAAGGAAGAGCTAAAGAAAAGCCTAGCCACACCCGACGAGTATCCTTCTGTGCGAAGAGTAGGACTAGACAACAAACTTAGCCACGGTTAAAAAGATTAACCAACGAAAACAAACACAAATTCTTCTTGGTCACTTCTTCGAAGTTAGGGGGAGAGATCGGAGAACAATGGAACTTGCTGGCAAATTTTAAACTCATGGAATCCATTTTTGACCTTCTGGTCATCCATCTTTTATAATGGGTTATATGGATATGAGCAATATTTGATCCGCTTTAAATGAGTCAATTATACAACCTGTTTTTAAATGGGCAGTTTGGACGGATACTTGAAAATTTTATCCATTTTGCCAGCACTAATCATAATGAAAACTCACCTCCTTTAAACAAGAAAGTGCTTGATGAAGCATAAGAATCAATGCTTATAAAGGCCAAGCAGTGATTTCTCTCTCTCTTCAACTCTCTTCTTTGCAGCTTCCCTGGCCTTGCGTGCTGCTGCTTCCTCCTCAGTGACAACTTTTGGCTTCTCATTTTCCCTTTTTCTTTTGCTAACTGTCAGTGAAGAAGGTTTACCTTTAACAGATCTCATGGGATTTGGAGGGGTTGAAACAACACGCCCTGGTGGAGGACCACTTTGGGGAGCTTCTGTGCTTTTATTTTCTGAAGATCCAGCACTCATCATTGATACAGGTGCTTTCCCAAGAGGTTTCTTTGGGGCGGAGGTTGAAGAAACCTGAGTTGCAGCAAGTGCCTCTTCCTGTGTTACCCACCTACCTGTCATGTTTCAATCAATTAAACATGCTGCCGGAAAAAAGGAATGGGGTAGCTAAATGGGGCTTTGGGAAAGAAGATTTACCTAAAACATCCGTATAATAGAAGCCAGAGTTAGGATCATAGTGACATCCATTACTTTGATTGTAATAATAGCCTGATGAGCTGTCATACTCCCACTCTGGTATTACCAAAACAGTGTTAGCTCAAGCGTAATACTCAAGACAACATTAAGAAGACCAACATTTTAACTCAAACTTGAAATAAGTGGTGTAGATAGCCTAAATGTGGAAAGGGAGGACTCTAAGGTACATAAACCTTTGTATTGTCAATAGTTAGAATCCAACCTAGTATTGTTAATTTCCTACTTCACCAACCTTGTGTCACCTAAAACACTTGAAGAGAACTTGGCCACTAAAGCAAAATGAGCAAGCTCTTTCAGACATGAAATTTTTTACCCGCTCAAAAAGGTGTATCCAAAGCAAAAGGTAAATCATCTGGAAGTCAGAATAGTATACGCGAAAATGGAGAAAGACGTGATGTTTTTTCATATAGTCAATATCTCTTAATGACCGGATAAAGCAGTTCTGTGAAAAGAAGCGGATTAGTTAACTTTTCTATTGTTTTTGCATAACGTAATCAAGGTATTCTGTAGAAAGTGTGATATGCAGCACTGTATTTAACCAAGGTGGTCGCGAAGGAATTGCAAAGAACCAGCATTAGATACAAAAACCTTAGCAAACCAAAAACCAAGCAAGAAAAATGGAAAACTAATAGCAGAGATTATTTCTTTATACATGAAAGATAAGACACTTCTTTACCATTAACTATCCGTAATCCAGAAAGTTAAGTGGGAGAATCACTGAAATGTTATCAGTTACCAATTTAACTCATATGCAATTTAATTTATTGAATGTTTTTTTCCTTCTGAAGATTGGAAAATGATTAAAAACTATGAACTAATCATGACATATCTTTATTTTTATAGCCAATTTTTTTTTTTGGGGGAGAGTATCTCCACTTATAACCAATTAAACATAATGTTTCTAATTCAGAGTCAGCACAATTATAATATATAGTAAAAGGTGTAACGTAATAGAACAACAGATATTTTATATACCTTCAGATACAGCAGATCCCTTGGCAGAAGTTTGACCATTATCATGAGTAACCAATGCCTGTATGTTGGTACTTCTGGCCTCTTTAACTCGAGCCATATCCTTCTGGTAGCTGCGTTGGGCTTTCTGGCAAATAAAGAAAGACGTAATTAATCCATCACATTTTGTTTGGTTCATCCATTTCTCTTTCAAATTATAAAACAAGTCAAAACACAAAACTGGTCGGATTTATGTAAATACTTTTAACACAATAAAATAATTAATAGTTCCCGTGGAAGTTTAAGAGAACCCTATGTAATAAGAGTATGTCAATGAATCCAGAAACAAAACCTTATCTTAAAATGCATTTCCAAGTTAGAGAGGAAATGCATCTATGCCCTCCATACCCCCCCCCCCTAAACACACACAAAGGAGAAAGAGAGTTTCTTTTAAAAAAATTCAAAACTGATAAGTGAATACACAGACTGCAATGTTAACTGGTCTGTGCATCCAAAAGAGTAAATCTGCTTTCCAGGTATATATGAAAAGCCTTCAGGTTTAGACAAATACCACACACACAAAAAAAACAAAGTAAAAAACATTTACATATGCTGCACATAACCATTTTATCCTATTTTGGAAGGCAAATACTAACATCATTTTTTTCCATTCGAAGCCCCGGATATGCCATCCTTTGTACCAGAAAACTGAATCCCTGGTCAAAAATGTTTAACCTCATATGTTAACATATATTCCAATATAATAGCACTTACTGCTTCAATTTGCTCCAGTGCACGGGCTGCTTCTTTTAAATCTTTATCTTTTGCAGCTTTCTCTTGTCGCATTGTGCTGAGCCTATTGGCCACATTTTCCTTGTGACGTGTACCAAGGTCATGATTCCTAATGCTCGTAGGATTATTTGATATGAAGATTTTGCAGAAATCACACCATTTATTTCCTTGGCTAACCCAAAACTGTACAATGAGAAAAATAAGAATTAGCTAAAATAATATTTGCAAATCAATCACAAGAAACTGAACATCAGTATAATTATCTTGGGTTTCGTTAATCTGAAGTGGCAGGAAAAGGAAGTAGGAATCAAAGTTCAGTAAGTAAGCAGGTTAGGGAAACAGGAAATATGCACGATACTTTGGAAGAAGGCCGGATATTCTGAAATAGCACAAAACACATTAATAAAAAGGCAATTCTTAACTAATAAGCACGATAGTTTGGAAGAAGGCCGGATATTCTGAAATAGCACAAAACACATTAATAAAAAGGCAATTCTTAACTAATAAGCACGATAGTTTGGAAGAAGGCCGGATATTCTGAAATAGCACAAAACACATTAATAAAAAGGCAATTCTTAACTAATAAGCACGATAGTTTGGAAGAAGGCCGGATATTCTGAAATAGCACAAAACACATTAATAAAAAGGCAATACTTAACTAAATCAGAAACAAAAGCAACCCAAATAAAAGATGACTGAGGAAACAAAATACTTTATAATGGATGGAATGAAACTGTTGTAGTTATTCAAATTCCAAATGTTCGTAACTAAATATGACTATAGGAATGCCAGAAATTTCACTAATAGCTAATTTGCCAAATTTTGAAAACAAAAAAAAGGGAGTATGGCTTTTGATTTGTACAGGAAAAGAAAAAAAGAAGCAATCCCGTGACCCCACAAATTAATCCAAACACTACAAGCTTGTTTGAATGGTTGTTACATATCGTTTCATAATGTATCGTATCATATTGTAATATATTGTACTGTGTCATATGATGAATATAATGTTTGGATAGATTGTATCGCTTGCCATCATTTTATGATATCACACGCCATCAATATGAAGAATAAACTTGCAATATTATAAAGAAAAACTATGATACGAGGTAGAATTATAATATAAAAAGATAGGAAAAATGATAAAATAAGATTATTTAATAATGAAGGGCGAGATGAGAGGGGAAAAAAAAGGTAACGACGTGACCACACCAAATCAGTTGTTACATAAAGTGGCACTTTTTGTCGTTATGTAACGACAGATTTAACAATACAATACAATAAATTTATGTAACAATCAAAATAAATATTGTATTTAAAGTAACAATACGATACAACACAATAGGTAACAACCATCCAAACAAGTCACTAAATAAATGTGTCCAGCACAACTCCAAAAAACCAGTGAAGTGTGAAACAAAGTAGAAACGAAAGATAAAAATTGATGAGTTTAAATCTAGGGCCAAGTAAGCCAATAGAGAATATTAAACACCATAAGCAATACAGATGATATGAGACATGTGGGCGGATACATTGACACATAACACTTAACAACTGTACCATGAAAGAAGCATGAAGGAGGAGTCACTATAAGCAACCCCTGAGAAAGATAATCATCTGTGGTAACATTCCAAATCGAGATCATAAATTGAAAACATGCACAAATTCGACAGTGCTTTGCTCTGTGTTCTTTGAAAGAGGGTTTTACATTATTTGACCTGTCTTGCAACTAAAGGTGCATAACAAACTCAAATAGTAAACTCAATCATGACACCTTAGCCATTTTTCTAATGTTTCTAACATAGTTACAAAAGCATAAGTCAGAACTCTAAACCAAGTCATGTTCCCAAGATTACCAACCCAGAAACTCGAAAATATCAGTTTGCAAAATTGAGTCAGTTCTTCAATCAGGAGTACATAAAAGGTATCCATAATCAGTAATTCCAATCATCTACTTACAATTTATATGAATTTAGAATGAAACAGAAAAAAGATATCTAGAAGCTGCATGTAAAATTGCAAGAGTAGTAGAGTCATACCTCAGTCATGACTGCAACGGATATACGAATGGATTGAATGCAAAGAGCACACGAAGGAACGCTGATTCCCAGACTCAAATTTGTTTCGCTATTCAAAATCAACGGCCTTTTCTTCTAAACCCTACTCTTGAGCAAAATAAGGTAAAATTATTGAGGATCTTGACCCCAAAATTATTATTTTTTTTTTTAATTTTTAATTAAAAGGCTCGTATCGCGCCGGCCCGATCCGTTCTGAGAAATGGTTTGGTGCGTGTGAGAGAAGAACTGACACAAGTAGTCTCTTAATTTTTGGGTTGGTTAAAAATAATCCTTGAAAAAATGCACATGAGCTGTTTAGTCATCTATATTTTCCAAAACTGAGCAAATTTTGTACTTGTTATATTTATATCACACGTTTATAGTTATATTTCATAGAATTCGAAAAGCGTACATGCCGCTTAATTGAAAATTATCTTATATACTTTTCCCTATTCACTTTTCCTAATTTTTACCTCATGAAAAGTCTTTAATTATAAGATTTCAACAATAATGGATGTTATTGAGGGTTTGACATATATAAATATACATTCCTTTGTTACTTCATATAACTAAGGATCAAAGAAGTGAATGGTGTATTTAATTACATTGAATAAGAATTTTCTTTAGGTACAAGTAGGGAAAATGATTTCGGTCTAAGTTCATCATGATGGCTTCTTCAATTTAAACTACTCACGTGTTTATCACGAGTCAATTCAATAAAAGATAACATTATGTGTATTTTAGTAACTGATCACGCCCAACTCTAGTCCTAAAAAGGATAAGCGGTTGCTGCAAATATAATCCGGTCTAAAAGTCCGGAGTCGAATCCTACAGAGAACTAAGGCTTAACTATAGTTGTTTAATATCACTAAAAAGACAAGTTTGAACAATTTTCTAAATTATAAAAATTGAAATTTATATGTCTAACTAATTAACTAGCAAATACTAGAAAGCGGTAAAATTATCAACTAACGAGATAAAAGGTTGGAGACTAAATTAAGGAGGTTTAGAGTTATGATTTTTCCAATTGTCGGAATTCTTCCCGCTATGTTCCCTACAATTTTGCCTATGTATTCTCTACTGATCGTGAGCACTTTAGGTGCCGTAATTTTCTCTCGAGCAACTACAATAATTTACTAGACATATTCTCTCGAACTACGCCAGTTGGCTTCATCTAACCGCTCACTATGACCACTTCAAGGTTTTGTTATTTCTAAACCTACCTTTAAACTCACTGTATTGATTTCTCACAAACGTTAGAAGTGACGTCGTTCAACAACTATCTAAATATGTATCTTTTCTCAAGCAACACATAATAAATAGGCACAGTCAATCGATGGCCATTCAATCAACTAAAATAAGCACATAGTTGAACAAATAGATAAATTCAAAGGCTAAATTATATCAAAACATAACAAGAATTCATCATCCAAGAGGCTCCATCAAAATCCTAGATAACAAATTAGCTATTCATAATGGTATGCAAAAAATACACAACTAGAATTCATAACCAATAATGGAAATAGGAAGAAGGAAGTGAAATACTCGTAGAAGAATTCTCCGCCTTCCTCCTAATGTGTTCTTGCCTCCTTAGGTCGAATATCTGGTCTCCTTAGCCTCCTTAGGTCTAAATTATGCTCAAAGTATGTCAAAGGTCTTCAAAATATCGTTTTTCTGTGTATATATACCAAGTAGGGTCGGGCCAAAACAATTATACTTTCTCTTACACGAAAAATGATATTTTTCCAGGTCAGGACGTCCGCGGATTCTACTGTGGACTATTTGGAATTTTGAGAAACGTAAAAACATAAAAGTTGTAGCCCTTTGAATTAGCTTTCCAATCATATATTGTGGAGCCCAAATGGAGTTCTGAACGAAAAGTTATGTGCATTTTATTAGATAATGCGCAATATGCCTACTCGATTCTTCGTTCGTTCTTAACTATCGGGATCCCCCGAACACGATCTCGGCTTAATTCATTGGGCTTTTACTCAGACTTCAAAGTTCCAAATCACATAAATTCATTCCATAACATCTGCATAGCTCGGAATCACTCCTACAAGGCATAAGACACACAATTAGTGCAAAACATTAGCGATTAAAACTCAAACCCAATTGAAGTACAGTGAATTAAAATGTAATAATCGACGAAAATACGTAATTATAGCCTATCATCAATACTAATGAGCAAAGGTGCTCAATTTTGGTAAACATAAAAGGACTAAAACCGTTCAAGTGTTTATTTAAAAGGACTATTTTAAATCAAAGCCCGAAGATAAGGGACTAGGTTTAGAATTTTCTTCCTTCCGACACCAATTCAATGGTGTTCTGTGTAGATATACTCCCAAATGCAAATCCAGACACGCCAAAGGGAGAAGTAAGATGGCTACCGCAGGCAGTGGAGGAAAGGAGGTACCGAAGATAGTATGGAACGAGAGAGTAGGAAGATTCGAGACGGAGGACAAGGAAGCCTTTTTGGAGTACGAGCTGAGAAACAAAGTGATCATGGACATTCTCCATACCTATGTCCCTCCTAGCAAGCGCGGATTAGGGCTCGCTTCTCATCTTTGTGTTGCCGCTTTTTCTCACGCCCAATCCCATTCCCTACACGTCATTCCCTCCTGTTCTTACGTCTCTGTGAGTCTCCTTTGGTCTTTTATTTATTTTGTTTCCTGGATTTTGCAAATTGTGCATTTTGCGTCCTGAGTTTATTAATTTCCATATGAATGTTGTCCTTTTATTTAATAATCTTTTTGATTCTTAAATTTCTTGCTCTGCTGATACCTACTTCAACTGTTAAAATTCAAGTAGATAGGTCTTTTTTTAATCTGTCTTTTGCTTTGTTAAACTATAGCCTATAAGCAAAAAATGGCACACCTAATTAATGGAAGGGGTACTGCTATACAAGTTACTCGTGTGTCCTACTATGCATATCAACTTCTCTTTAAGCTGTACAGCTTATATTTTTCTTTCTAACATGTTCTTTGGTTTAGTTTCCAATATTATGTCATGCACTTATGTTTCCTGAAAATACAAGATGCAACTTTTTTTACCCGACGAGTTCTTTTTATCCATAATATTGCTTTTGACTGTTAGTTTTAGTTAAAAGCTATTGCTCTTTGTTAAAACTAGCTACAAAAAACTATGTTTCTCTCTCTCTCTCTGCTTCCGCTTTCTAACCAAGACAGCCTGCAATAATTCAAGTTGATTTCTTCCTCCGATGCACCAGCTGATATTAGTTTGAGGTACAACCAAAGGTGACTGACAATTTTACTGCAGTTGCACATTAAAAGGAGGGACGAGGAAAAAAACTGATGTTTTGATGACCTTATGTCCTTATAAATTAAAGAAATAGAAAATCGTGTTTACTCTGCGACCTTATGTCCTTAGGTGTCATGGTTGATCATTTGTAGCTGTCTAAACTACTGAAAATGAACACAAGTTTACAGACCCTCAAAGAATCTCAAATGGTCTTCAAATGTCTCTCCATTTCGGATTTTGGAGATAGATCCATCCTCTTGTACCCAATACTCTGGGACCTTATGTCCTTATAAATTAAAGAAATAGAAGATTGTGTTTAAATTGGAGAGAAACCTTGACTAAAAAGATAGTCCTATTTTCCTGTAAAAGATCACAAGTGAGTGTCCTCTCATCCTCTTGCGCTAGTCAACATTCAAGCCAAAACTGATATTATTTGGCATCATATCCTGCATAGTTACCGACTATTTTATCATACAAACAACGCCAACAATTAAGAGCTTTAGGTGGAACAAGATCTATCTCAAATCTTGAAGGTCTTTCACCGACATGTTATCAAAGGAAAGAATTAACATAGATGCTTGCAACTCTTCTCATAAACATCTGAATTTGGCATCGGGAACTTATTTACAAGCTCATCCCCTTTGTCCCTCCTTATGATAAGATCTGCAACAATAGCAGTCATCTGAGCTCCAACCTGCTTGATTTCATTAAACTGCTTCCTTAATGATTCACAAACAAACACCAACGTATTGCAGTGGGTACAGTAATCTTAGAAGTGGTGCTCCTCACCACTTCCCTCCCCCTTTCCATGGATAAATAAAGGATGAGTCACCAGAACATAGTCCTGGCTTGAAGAATTAGTTGCCTGTGTCTTCTCATTCTGTAGATTTCAACAGAGAGATTGGTCGCTGTAGCTGTTAAATATCAAAGGTGAACTCTCCCACAGATCTTTGGTCTAGTGGTAAGAGCGCCACGTGTGAAGTGTGGATTAACCGCACATCACGAGTTCGAATCCTAGTCGGATACAAAGCCTGGTATTTAAGTGGAGAAGGGTAGTAGAGGGGCAAGCTCGTTATTCACTGAGGTTCAAACCATGTGGCATGCGCCAGCTGACACCTTGGGAACTCTTGGTTATCAAAAATCAATCATGAACTCTGCTGTGATCTTTTTGTATAGAATCCTAGTTGTAACTTTTCTTGGCATAATTTCAGTTCCAAGTTAAGAACCAGTTGCATGATATGGACTTGCTCTTATTTTAGTTGGTAATATTATTATTACAGTTACATTATCCTACTAAAAAATAACTAGGATTTACTTATTCATGTATGAATTTTGTTTAACTAGAAAATATGGCCTCCTTCCAAGTTCAAACCAAATAGTGATCTAAGTTGTTCTTTCCTTTTCTTTTTCTTTTTTGATAAAGAGTGATCTAAGTTGCTCTTAACAATAATTTTTCAGTTCCTCCAGGCATAGTTGTATTTTCCATGGCTGGCTTCAGTATTTTATCATAGATTAGATTAGTATAAACAAAATCAAGGCGTTTCGGTCAGTGTCTCATTTAAAAGCTGCATTATTGCTGTAAGGCTGAACTAATGTATTGTTCCTCATGCAGGATACATTCCTTCCAAGGAACCCTTCTTGGAATTCTATTTTGCACAAAGAGGACCTGAAATCTCACATTTGAAGCAGCATGTTGTTTCTCTCTGAATTATTACCTCTTGCGCTTCTGCTTAATGGAGTCTTCATTGTGTGCGAATTGGTTGATGTAGGAGCAAAAGATCCAGCCCTTGTAAGCGTAGGCAAGCAAACTCACGCTGGGTTCTGTTGTACTATCTGTCTCGTATATGTACAGTATAGTAGAGTGTTTTGCTATAAATTGGATCCATTTCCTGCTTTCGATGAACCAATGGCAAAGCTCAGAGTTTATAATAACATACCTCTCAAGTACAACTCTGTGTTTTCACTCTCATAATTGATTGGATTTTGCTCCTCTAATTCTCCCTTGACTTCCAAGTATGTCTCTCTGTGCGCAATAGGCCCCTCGCTACTTTAATATAGGCATCTACCTATCTCTGTGTCTTTTGCTATTGGCAATGAGCAGTGAGCACTAAGTAAAAGCATTTTATGTTTAACGAAACAATAGCCCGGCTTTTGCTTACTATAAGTGGTGTGGCATGAAACAATCAGCTAAAGGACTGACCAGCTACATATCTCAACACAAATAAGTAAAATGAGACAAGAATAACAATATTTAAAATTATTCAGAGGCAAAACTTTAAAATTTTATGCCCTCGTTTTGTTACTTTTTATTTTATACTTTCAAATGTTCTTTATAGTTTGAGATTACGGGCAATTGAACTAATAACGTTGTTTTGCTATCCTTAAAAGACCAAAAAAAAAGGATATAATTTCTATCCAACCAGATCAAATTGAAGTTATATAGGTCAAAATCGAAGAGAAAATTAAACTGTACCAAATTTAATTTAATATGGTAGTAATATAATATTTAGGAAATTGAATATAGAAAATACCAAATTGAAATAATTAAAAACCGAACCAATAGCACTAATTAAAGTGCAAGAACTCGTTCAATTTAATTTTGTTTACCAACTAAAACAATGAAACTGGGCTTGTTTGATACATTTGTGAAACTACGAGGACTTATTTGCTCTTTTATCGTAATTATTCCACCCCCTTCTCGTAGCCTGATTCTGATATGAAGTGGCTTGATTGACATTTGCCGCCGGTGACTCCAACCTGTCGGTGTTCTCCGGCGAAATCGACAGTCAACCTCCTCCATCTCCCTCTCTGTAAACAATGGATCAATCTTTTCTGCTGATGCTAACAAATCTTCTTCACCTTCAGAACCACCTTGACCCTACCACCTCTCTCCTCTCCGATTCCAGCTCCTCTTATTCTTCCTCCATCGCTTCACCCACCTCCCCTACTTCCCTCCTCACCTCCACCTCTGCCGCCCCTCTCCTCTTCTTCACCATCGCCTCTGTTCTCTCTTACCTAGCCACCCACCACTCACCCAACAAAAAACCCAAAACTTCACCTAATAACGACAACAACAACCCCTCTTCTCCGTCTCACGCCGCCGCTGCCGCCGAATTCTCCGTCTCGGCCTTCCGTGCTCTCTCCACTGAACATATTTGGGCCATGGAAGCTCCTCTCCGTGACGCTCAGTGGCGTTCCCTGTACGGCTTATCATATCCAGTTTTCACCACCGTTGTCGATAAGCTGAAACCCTACATTACCCAGTCCCAACTTTCTCTCCCGTCTGATTACGCTGTTGCTATGGTACTTTCTAGACTCTTCCACGGCTTTTCTGCTAAAACCCTAGCTACCCGTTATGGTCTTGAACCTTACCTGATCTCGAAAATTACTAACATGGTCACCCGCCTCTTGGCTACTAAGCTTTACCCTGAATTTATCAAGATTCCGGTGAGTCGCCGCCGTCTTGTGGAGACCACTCAAGGGTTTCAAGAGCTGACTTCACTCCCTAATATATGTGGAGCTATTGATGGAACGGCTGTTAGGCTGCAGCATCTTCCGTCAGACACTGTTAACTCTTCTATGTACTTTAGTAAATATGGATTCCCCTCCGTATTGCTTCAGGTTGTTGCTGATCACAAGAAGATATTTTGGGATGTTTGTGTGAAAGCCCCAGGTGGATTTGACGATGCTACACATTTTAGGGATAGTTTGTTGTATAATAGGTTGATTTCCGGTGATATTGTTTGGGACAAAGGGGTTAATGTTAGGGGACAACATGTGAGGCCTTATATTGTTGGGGACTGGTGTTTTCCTTTGTTGTCTTTTTTGCTCACTCCGTTTTCATGGAATAGGACTGGTTCGCCTGCTCAAAACGCGTACGATGAGGGCTTGATGAAGGGGAGGAAGATGGTTGAGGAAGCTATAGGTTTGTTGAAGGGGAGGTGGAAAATTCTTCAGAATTTGAATGTGGGACTAAGTCATGCGCCACAAACGATTGTTGCTTGTTGTGTGTTGCATAACTTGTGTCAGATTGCGAGGGAGCCGGAGCCAGAGCTTTGGAGGGAGCCAGAAGAGAATGGTTCCCCTCCAAGGGTGTTAGAGAACGAGAAGTCATTCTATTATTATGGTGAAAGCTTGAGGCAGGCCTTGGCTGATGATCTATATCAACGCCTATCTTTGAGATGAAAGAATTTACCAGGAGGAGGGGAAATCTTCTAATGCGTTGCTTTGATGTAAGGATAAGTTTACTACTTGTTAATTCTAGTTTTTGGTTCCTGCTAGCTGATATTGCTCTTTGACAAACCTTAAGGGGTAGGAAAGATCCTCTTTTTACTGAGCAGTACCTGTAGTCTAGTTGATAACCTTGAACTACCTCAAGGATTCGGTTTGTTTGATTCCTGTGAGGCATAGTTGCTGCTTTTTAAATCTTATGTTGAATGAAAAATATAGTAAGATCTACGTCTTTTCTGTAAATCATTGAGATATGTGGCTTTATGCAGCTACAATTTTCACCTTGTCTAATTGTTAGTTTGAGTTATGACCTTCTGATTGCACAAATTTCTGGATTTACCAACCTCAAAGAACGGGATCCCAGATCATCAACCTAATGCGGACTTGTGTTCTTTTTTGCTTCCTTTTCTGAGGACGGTGGTGTCTGGACCAGCTTGCTCGCTATATACTTTTTTTCTTTTCTTTTAGTGACAGTGATCGAATTGCTTCCACTTTGGCCCATGCTTCAGTCGTCCTTAACTTTTGAATGCATGAAAAACTGCTCATAGACAAGTCCTCTAGCATTGTATCAGCTACAATACTGAAATTAAGTGTGAGCTAGAATGGAAATTTTCTACCTCAGCAAAGAGATGCGAAACTTGGTGCAACTCAGGTGTTGCATACCTTCTGGTTCACATTAGTTATTCTAGCTGGGTATATTCAATGTTATTGTCTTATTGAGAATCTGATACTTACCTAAAACTTTTGTCAAAATATACTTACCTAAACATCAGAAAAAGTAAAAACTTAGAGGCAATGTGCTGTTCTTGTATGTATGTTCCAATATGTTCAATAGGAACTGTTTCTTTTCCAAGTGCCATTTGTTACCCTTTTATCAGGAAGTGCCATTTGTGACTTCCTATTGTTCTCCTTTGTTTATGATTCTTAGAAGTTAAAAAGTTGTGTTGAACACACTGCGAACAGGAAAGAACGTCTTCAAAAGAGAATGGTTCCCCTCCAAGGGTGTTAGAGGATGAGCTACACTCATTTGAACCAGATAATGTTTGGGTTGTAAAATTACAAGTCTCATTTTCTTTGATATATTGTTGATTAACCTATTCATCATATAGGACCTGACAGTTTGGTTTTAAGGCAAGTTTAAGTTGGATTTCCTGGTCAGAAGTCAAAAAAGAGATTTGAATTTGCTTTTCAATTCTGTAATATGTTGAATCAATTCTTGTTTTTGTTTTTCGCCCTTTTGTTTCTTGGGGGTTAGAGAGTTGAGGCCGGGGAGCTAATGCAGTTAACGGAAGTGGGAAATGTCTGTTTCTACTTTCTGTTGACATGCTCCAGATATAGACAATGTAATTCAGGACATTGTTTGGGAAATTACAGTTAGGTACTCATATTAGAAAGAAGTAAAGGAAGAATGTGTTAACGTGCTTGCTGGAATTGTGTGCTAGCTAGGAGAAGTTTCAAGTGAAATATCTCATTGATGGACATTTTATGAAAAACAGAAAGCGTTATTGTCAAGAGATGCCCGTTTGATTTAATTGGTTCCGAAAAAGTTTGACTTTTATAGTGAAGTGTTGTTATATAGGGATGTTGTTCTAGAGATGTCTGACTATACCAGAAACAATAACGTCTGGATTTATTTATTTTTCCTAAAGAAAAAAAATAGTTTTGGGAAAAGGGCCAAATATACCCTTCTACTTTCAGATATTGTTTATATTTAACCTCCGTTATATTATCGGATCAAATTTATCCCTACAATCAATAAACTTTTAAAAATTACCCCTCAGTCCGTCAGGTGATCGAGAATCTCCCAAATTATTTTAATTAAGTCATTGATTCTTCTTTTTGGTCCACTATTTTCGAAATAATTGGCATTTACCTACTTTTTGAATTGGAGAAAAAAATATTAAATAACATAACATTTAAGAAACAAAGTATAGTAAATTGAGGAATCTAAATTAGGTAGTTTGTCTAAATTCTAAAAGTATTTATAACATCCCAATTCTAATGAATTCGTGCACCAAATGTACGAAGACTTTGCAAGTATTAGTGATTGAAGTTGAAGTTCCTCAGAGACTTTACATTGTCGAATTTAACTTTGGTTTAATCAAATGTCTACACATTGTGCACTCTTAAGTTAGTCGATTGAACACTAGATGATCAACTGCATATAATACACAATAAATAGACCCACTGATTCTACGGTATGTATATGGTTGAAAACTAAATATAATTTTAAACCAATTTCAAACCCATTATTACCAGAAGAGAAGTGGGTGCCTGGGTAATTAAAAATATTCCTGAATAATTTGTATAGTCTAGTAACTTTAGCATTCACATTAATAGTAATTTCTGTAAATAGTGGAGCAAGAAAAACAACAAGTGATTTAAATAAAAAGAATTTGGGAGATTTTGGATTACTTAACAGATTAAGTGGTAATTTTTAAATGTTTGCTAATGATAGGGGTAAATTTGGCCGAATAGTATAACAAAGGTTATATGTAGACAATATTTGAAGGTAGAGGGGTATATTTGGCCCTCTTCCCTTTAGTTTTCGAAGATTAAAAGATTTTTTTTAGTGAAAGCCCGTTTGCAGAAATAAGGGGCGTTTATACTTGCCTAGCATCAGCCAAGTAGGATTAAAATCACCAAGATTTACCAACATTTTAATCAACTGTTAAAACAAATAAAATCCATCTAGCAGCAATTAAAAATTTCCCGGCGGTCAGCACAAGTTTAGTAAGGCAAGAAAGCAGGGGTATCGCTTGTTAGAGATTGCTGGATACTGTGCTTAAATGAGCCATTCAAACAAGTACGCTATACCTTTTTACACAAGTTCATTCATAACAGGGAAGTTTTATTCTTTTTCTTATTGAAAAGGGTTGGGGGTACTGAGGGGAGAATTGTACGTTCAACTGAAGACGAGACACCAATTGGAAAGATCATCAGTTTTATGTACCAATGTGTTGGAAATACCAATTATGTCGTCCTGGGAAGTAGAAGACAACCGATTAAAACAGAGGTGAATTAAAAAAAAAAAAAAAATCCAGTGGACAGGATTTTGGTAAATCAAATAAAACACTACTAAGCATGCATAACCAGACTTTCCAAAACACGGGGGTGCCGTTCAGCTGCTTAAAATTGATGTAAGNGTGAATTAAAAAAAAAAAAAAAAGTCCAGTGGACAGGATTTTGGTAAATCAAATAAAACACTACTAAGCATGCATAACCAGACTTTCCAAAACACGGGGGTGCCGTTCAGCTGCTTAAAATTGATGTAAGAAATATGAAGAATATATAGCACCAGAGTTGCTCTGGGAACAAACTGCTAATGTTGGAGTGGACCAACATAAAAGCCAGGGGCAATTTTGAACGAATATTGAGAGGTCCAGCATCTAACCAAGGAAACATCATCGATACAGTTAAACATGGATTCTTGTTAAAGGCAGCATGCTTTCACTTCCAAATGCATGAGGAGAGATTATGTCAATGCCAATTTTGCACTCCATGAAGCAACTAGCTGTGACATGCTTGCCGCAACCCCGTAGCCACAAGGCAAACTGAGGACTATTATAGCTTGTACTAAAATGCTCAGCTTTCGCTAACTTGCATTGACCACCAATTTTAGGAACATCATCTACAAGCAACATGCACTGGCTTAGCAAACAACTTCACAATATATGCCCCTCGGAAATTCAAAGGATGCTGATAGCATTAGGCATTATCACAAAGACTGCAACTATCATCTTATCAGAATGATGCAAATGAAAAAACCCGTCAATGCAGGTAGCTAAAGAGAGTGTATTACAAGCATCCGCAAAGTACTCATCTGATTAAAGTATCTATGTTAACCATACCAAAACCATGAAAAAAGGTACTAGCAAAGAAGAGTTAAACAATAACAGCTTAGGATTGGTTAATCATAAAAAAATGCTCTTTCCTCTACAGTCATATCATTGTCTAAATTTAATTGGTTAAGCATAAGAAATTGGTCCTACGGTCACGTCTTTGTCTAAGTATAATTTTAGTAAGAGAACTAAACATATTAGCAAAAGACGATGTCATACCTGAAATTTGCACACTTTCTCAAACAGAACTCGTCTCTTTCTTATTTTTGATTCACCTGTTCCAAATAAACCCCTACTTATTGCTTAAAGGGATTTGAAACATCGTTCAGCCTTTACTTTAAAAAAAAAAGGGTGTTCAGCTTTTTGCCAACACATTTTTGATATATGGACCAACAATTAACGTAGAGCAGATATATTACAGAAAGACATGAGAGTATGGTATATCTAGTTGGCATGGGCTCAGTTAATCAGCCAATACAAAAGGCAATGTTTACATGAGATACATGACATAGATGCTGGGAGGGAATGATTAATATGATAGTGTCATGTTTTTTGAAAGGGAAGGTGTTCTTAATAAAACAATCAGCAGTTCAGCACTAAGGAGGAGCTTTAATCTTTAAATAGTACAAGATGACCCCAAAAGCCAAAAACCTCCCTTCTATCAATGGAGGAAATTCCATGAAACAACAACTGTAATCCCACGAGTGGGGTTCATGAATCCCAACATATCTGCCCCATTTACAAGTTGTTGTTTACACCCCTAAAGAAACGCAAAACTATACAGTTAAAGTTTACCTTCTAAATTAGTTGGCTTTGTATTCATAACATCTCAATTTCTCTTTCCAATCTGCCCACCATATGCAAGCAAGGATGGTGTTCCATATTCTCCGCATGCCTTGATAGATGGTGCCATTTCTGAAGAGAAAAAACCAAAATAATTTGCAGTTGATAACCATAAACTGACATCTCCAAATGCGAGAATCTAAGGTTAAATGTAATTGAACTCTCTCAAGAAGTTCAAAAGTCTTATGCAGAATTTCATGTGCAGAAAACTTATAAAATTGAGGTACATGTTAAATCCAAAAATAGGAGTTGAATATCTGACCTTCCAGCTTGTGGGAAACTGTTGAATTACAAGCAAATCAGGAAATTAACCATATCGAACGAGAAAGTTGCTTGACTGAATAAGGTGACAGCTTCCCAACAACTCTATTTCAGAGGATTTCTAGCAACTGTTTTCTGAAAAGAAGTTTTCCAACTGTTTTCCTATGTTCACAATGGTATGAGAAACATAGAGGAGTGGAAAGCAACATGTTGCAGCCCAGTTTTCTGCTGCTTGATGCACTCTAACATGCACATGACAAAAGTAGTGTGATCATTCCAGATGATAAATACTTTATCATGGCATGTGAGAAAAAGCAGTTTTCCCACTATTCGGAAAAAGGCCATCCTTGGCCATATCAGTAAGTACATTGAATACTGCATCCATGTTCCCTTCCTTGTAGTTTACATCAACAATACCTTTTGCTAGCTCACCATCAGCAAGTTTACAGGACCCCAATGTGCTTTGAATTACTTGATGTAATTCTTCACTCATCCCTTCTTTAAATAGTTCTTTCATCAGCACAATAAGACTAACTGTATGAGGAACAAACCCAAAACTTACCATTTCTCTATAAAGATGCAAGGCTCTATGTAAATTCCCACCCCTAGAATGACCATGTATAAGCAGATTGTAAGCCGCTTCACTAGGCTTCTTGTCTTTTTGCAGCATCAACTCAAAAACTCTGTCCGCTTCATCTAACAAACCTTTCATGCAGAATCCTTTAATAAGATCTGTTGCACTCTTAAAATCAAGATCATTGCAACTTTCAATCAGCATATCATATGTGACACTATTAGGAACGGATTGCTCATACAACAACTTGAACAGAAGCCTTTTTGCTTCTCTAGTGCGAGCTTGTTTGTTGAGCCCGTTGATTAGGACACTGTAAGTGACGACATCAGGAAAGAAACCCTTGTTTATCATTTCATTATGCAGGTTAAGAGCGCCTTTAATATCCCCTTTTAAACAGTATGCACCAATAAGTGTAGTATATGTAAACTTATCAGGTTGAATACCCACTCTCAGCATCTCCTGGAAAAGCTCACGAGCTTCAGTCAAGCTTTGCTGCTCGCAAAGACCTTGAATTAGGGATGAATAAGTAATAACATCAGGTGAAACCCCTTTCTCAACCATCTGCTGCTTAGCACAGAATGCCCTTTCCAAATTGTGGTTTCTACAAAACCCAGATATCATTGTACTATAAGTTACAACATCTGGGACCACCCCTCTCCGTTCCATCTCTTGAATTACACTTAAAGCATCTTCCATCCTGCCCAATGCACAATGCCCGTTAACTAAAGCATTGTAAGTCACAATTGAAGGGGAAAAGCCACTTGAAATCATTTCATTCAAAAGTTTATAAGCCTCATTCATAAAACCCTGCTGAGAGAAGCCAACAATTAATGTCGTGTAAGTTCTCTCGTTAGGATATAATCCCCTAGCACGTAATTGATCAAAGAATTCCATCGCGCGATGCAAATTCCCAGTCTTGCACATGCTGTTGATCAAAGAAGTATAGGTCACAACATCTGGAGACAACCCATTCCTTAACATTTCCGAGTGCAAAACAAGTGCTTGATGAAAATTACCCTCTCTGCAATAGCCATTTACCAGAGTGTTATACGTCACTTCATCAGGAACTAATCCCTTTCCCCTCATATCTTTCAAAACCTCACTCGTCTCTTTCATCCTTCCTTCTCTGCATAACCCATTAATAATAGCATTATACGTGACCACACTTGGTTCCAAGTTCCTAACTTGCATTAGTTTCAAAAGTTCAACTGCCTCATCAACCTTACCTATTTTACAGTAAGCACCGATTATTGTGTTATATGTTACAACACTAGGCAAGCAGCCACATTTTTCCATTTCTTTGAAAAAAGCCAAACCCTTATTCAAATCCCCTTTTACACAAAGCCCCCGGATCATAATATTGTAAGTATAAACATTGGGCGAAACCCCAGAATTAACCATATCATCATAAAACTTTTGAGCTAATTCAAAAGACCCATTACGTGAGACCCTGATCAACGCATCAAGAATAGAATTATAGGACAAAACAGTAAGCATAAACCCATTAGACTTAGCTAATTCGAAGACATTCATGGCTTTATCAATCATTTTCAAATGAGAGTAAGATTTTACCATCAAGTCAAACACAGCAGAGCTAGACTTGCAAGAATGGTAAGTGTCCTTGAGACATAAAAAGACAAATTCACCCTTGTCATCGGCAGATTTCACAGCGACGTCCTCGGCGAGAGATTGGGCGGTCTTGTAGAGCTTGAAACGAGTGAGGATATGAATGGAAATGCACTTGCACTGAAGGTTGAAGAATTGGCGATGACGTGCCCAGTTGATGAATCTTAGAACAAGGGGTTTATCAAACTGGGATTGGGAAAGTAGGGAAGAAGCATATTGAGGTGTGAATTGAGAAGATAAGGAGTTTAAGGGAATTGGGTCGTGGCCTTTGAGGATAGAAACTGCCCTGTTCACAAAAATGATATCGGAGGAAGAAGGGAATGGTGAGTCTAGGGTTTTGGGTTGGACCTGCCGAGCTGAGCTATGGAGGGCCCTCCGGTAGGGTTTAACAAGAAGCATGTCGGAAAAGTGGAGCAACGGCGACTGTTGTAACTTGTAACATGGACCAGTTACAAGTAGAAGAAATAGCGATTACATTACAGAATCATATACTCCACTTTTTTAGGAGGGTCCCCCGCTGACATCCGAAAAAAGAAAATAGTAACAAGTTTGTTATATGGAACATAGGACTTCAATAGACCCGGCAATTACCCTCTGAAAGTTCATTTGGAATTTTAGAAAGAACCAAGGGCAAGAACAACAGAATATAATGCCACGCATGAGATCCGGAGAAGGTAGTGTGTATGCAAACCTTATCTCTACCTTGAGAGTGGAAAGACTATTTTGATATATCATCAGCACAAGAAGATGAAATGAGACAATAGAACAGTAACAACAACATGCGTCAGAAAGATAGTACCAGCGAGCTAAGAATCAGAAAAATAAATGGAAAAAACAATATCAATAATCAGTATAATGGCAAGGTACTTGGAAATCGGAGCGGGAAAAAAAGTACGAACACATGTACCACTTAGCATACTAAAACAAGACACTAACCGGCTAGCCTTACAACCAGAAAGGAGTAAAGAAACGCTCAACTACCTACTAATTATCAACCCTAATGCTCACCCTCCACACCTTCCCATCAAGGGCTATGTTCTGCCTGATCACCTATTGTTTTAGTACAAGCAATTATTTTCAGAGTTTCCATCACAATATTCTTTTGAATCACCAACATCTGCTTCGTTTAAATAGAGTTTGTCAACATGCAAAATTGAAGGACATGTTATCTTCAAACTTAGGTTAACGGTTGAAGTATTTCATTTTCTAGTACTCATATGTTTTCTGTTTCGTCACGTCTTATGTTATAAGCAGAGCATTCTCAAAACTTTGACCCTTTAAGTAGTAAATAGGAATAAACATATACTTTCAAATACAGTATGAAGTACGTTAGTGATAGGTTTGCATCACGTTCAAGCCAGAAATTAACTGGCAAAATCCATGTCCATTAACTTCCCTTTGATTTTGGAATGTATTTTTTGACAAAGTCCATTAGTATTAAACAGACCTTTTAATACTTGGTTGGATGTTAAAATAGATAGGGTTGCTACAATTTTCAGTTCGGATATTGAGATAATTAACAGCCTTAGTTTATGGAGTTCTATAATTAAGCACCAGAAACAGAAGCACCTTATCTGGCTAGGGAAAAGGGTACAATTTAACAGCCAGGCAACTTTAGCCTGGACTCAAATTGGACAACAAATAGAGAATACACCAACTAAATCATCCAATTCCAGCATTGAATCAACTAAGGTCCTATGTTTTCTATACTGAGTACCACATTCCCAATTTAAGTGGCATATCTAGAAGTAACTACATCTTGTTAATCCCTGTTGGCAGGAGTTGCAACTAGGATCATTCCCCTTAGTAGCACACAACTGCAAATCCAATCAGCAATCCACACACCATCAGAAATCTTTACACTATAGGGTATGGAAACAAAAGCTATCAATACGTGCTATAAAAGTGGAACCCGTGAATCAAAGATACTCCAGACAGTCCAATTCAGGGCAGGCCTCTTTGACGCTTCAGTGCAAGGTGGCAGATAACTGAAATGTTGAAACGCTTGAAGGTTTATCTCAGCCACACTGTCTAGACACGGTACATCCAACATTCTCCAAAGCATGTTTCACATATTACTGCGCCTTTGCAAGTCCTCGAGTGGAAGGACCATGCAACAATTTCACAAATCCAAGAAAACTGAGCTTTCCATCTGTATGCCTTATCCAGTCATGTAGAACGGCATGAACTGGTACTGAAGGACCCAGTCCAAGTTCCTGAAAGCGAGATTTTATCACAATTTCAGGCAGTAAACATGTCATGATACATACAGTAAGTACTCAGTACACTCAAAAAGTCATCATATACAATGCAAATGCGAGAGCAGAACATGGCATTTGTAAGGAAACTTACAGATGCAAGTTCTTCTATCATAATAGCCCTATTGCCATCCTTCTCAAAAATTTCATATGCACACCTAGCATGTTGTTCCCAGCGCTCAAGTGCCTCCAACTGATGAACACTTGAGGCAGCTGCGCAGAATTCTTCAAAATCCATCTTTCTATATTGAAGTGCATTTAGCTGTCAAATATGACATAAAAAACAGTTATTCATAAGCTCCAAGCATAGAAGAAGCAGGGAAACACACAAGTGACAGTTATGTCAGTACCGAGGCAAGAAAATCCGGAATGCGCGACTCCTTCATAGCATCTGTTCCATATTTCATCAGCGCCTACATGGCACGAAAAGAGTAAGGAGATAAGACCTTCAGGCTTTAGCAAAAAACGTGGAAGAGCTGAAGATGAGAGAGTTGAGATACTAACTGATCTTATATTTTCTAGTTTTATGCTGCCATTTTTGTCTGGCTCCAGCAATGCAAATTGCTCCTTCAGGTAGAACAGTTCATCTGCTGTCAAAGTTTTCGACATTGCCTGCAAAGGCAAAAATATTATCAATTTACCGAGTCAAATGTACCAAGACTATGAGCATCAGAGCTGATAAAAGAGGCAGAATCACCATATTAATTTACATAAATCAATAGAATTTAGAAAAATTCAGCATTAATCAGGTTAACTTCACCCTGAATACCTAGGGATTAAATTAAAGAGTTCCCCCCTTTTTCACCTTTCAGAATTCTGGTAAATAGAGTACAACATAGAGCTATATGAACCCACAATATGAGAAAGAAGCATAATATCATTTGCTTTTCTTGTCGGAACATCTAAACTAAACCATGTAAGAGCAATATGCATCCTGAAAGTTGTCCAAGTGAACTTATCGAGACTAAGAGCTCAAGAGTGAAGAAACAAAACCAATAGGAACAAGTAACTTTAGCCTCGATCTCTTTTCCCATCGTGGAATAATAATCTATCAAGATAATTTCACAGGCTAAAAGGGATTTAGCAGATATGTTCATCAGACTTCTTTATTTTATCCTAGAAAGATTTTAGTGTCGTCACGTTCAAGATGAATTAGCGCAACGGCTGTGTCCGAGACCCAAGAACTACTGACAAATTGTACAGCTTCATGAATGCAGAAGAATTATCATGTTATATCCTCTTTGGTTATTCGTTTATTCCTCGACCTCTCTCCTTGGATAAGTATCTTATTAGTGATAATGGCCAGGTGCTTCATAGATCCCATGACTATCCTGTCACAATCTATGTAATTCGGACTCAAGGAAGTAGCTAACAGTAAAGATCTTAAAGTAAAACAAGTTAGTTTAGCCTCAATCTCTTTTCCCATCGTAGAATAATAATCTATCAAGATAATTTCACAGCCTAAAAGGGATTTAGCAGATATATTCACCACCACCACCAACAACAACAACCCAGTTGAATCCCACAAGTGGGGTCTGGGGAGAGTAATGTGTACACAGACCTTACCCCTACCTTGGGAAAGTAGAGAGGCTGTTTCGGATAGACCCTCAGCTTAGCAGATATATTCTAAGCTGATATATTCACCAGACTAGTTTATTTTATCCTAGTAAGACTTTATTGTCATCACTTTCAAGATGAATTAGGACAACAGCTGCGTCCGAGGCCTAAGAACTATATAGCTTCGTGAATGCAGAAGAATTATCATGTTATTTCCTCTTCGGTTATTCGTTGATTCCTGGACCTCTCTCCTTGGGTAAGTATCTTATTTGTGATAACGGGAAGGAGCTTCACAGATCCCATGACTATCACTATCCAGTTACAATCTATGTAATTCAGAATCAAGGAAGTACCTAACAGTAAAGATCTTATAGTAAAACATCCCTGGAACTAAAAAAAAATTATGAAAAAATGGAATTGCGCACTGCCCCAAAATCAAAGCAACTTGTCCATTCCGATGATTAATACCTTTGGCAATATAAGCTTTTTCTCACATATCCTTGATAATGGGTGAGACATATCTTTCTTTTTCAGAAGTAATTGGTGAGACTTATCCAGTATCCTACACTGCATAACTGCACGGATTGGGGTAGAAGGTTCACCGAACCCTTAGAGGACACCCAAAGCGTCTTTTTTCAGTGAAATCTTGCTACAAAATCCTGCCTTGAATCAAATCTGGTTTTAACAACACTCCCCTGAAAGTCTCCTGCTTCTCTTGGTTAGTGGCTAGGGAGGCCTGCTGCACTCAAAACAACCTTCAGCAAAGAGGCTTTCAAACTCTGTAGTAGATGTCTCTGTGAAGACCATCTTGAAGAAGCATTTTCTTCACTGCAAGGTCACTTCTCAATTGTGGAGTTTATTTTCGCTATTCTTGGCATGAGTTGGACTATCCCACTCTCCTCTCAAGAGTTCCTTACTTGCTGGAACAGAGATGGTGCCCACAAAAAATCCCTCAAAATTTGGAATACTATACCCCAAGCTATTTGGTGTACTCTCTGGGCAGAAAGGAAAAACAGACTTGTTTAAAGCAGCAACAGAACTACTTATCCTTAAGTTTAGAGCTTTCTCTCTGCTAGCTTTTTGGTGCAAACTGGTCTTTGTACAGGATACTGATTCCTTGTTAGATATGATAGAGGAGCTGCACAACTTGTAACAATGTTTTGACGCACTAGCTTACTGCTTTTTGTCCACTATAGTTGAATACCTTATCACTTATCAAAGAAAGTGTCAATGCTCCTCTATTAATGATTACCTTATCAAAAAACTTACCAAAGAAAGTAATCGCAGAAACTTTATTTAAAGACAAAAAGGAAAGGTGGCTTAAAAACCTTATAAACTATTTGTTTTTGAGAATAAAACTCTTATAAACCATTTCAAAACCTAAAACCAAAAGATAGGAAAAAATAAATAGATAAGCTATCAAGGGCAGAGACAGATATATCAGGTACTATTAATTGTTCCAGCTAAATAATATACACACCCTTAAAGCAGCCTTACGCAAAGAGGATGATCGCATATATGCTTTCATGAGTCGAAATATAAGAACATCAAGTGGTAGTTTTGCACCACTGTGATTCCGCATCCAAGGATGACCTGCACAAGGGGGTGATTAGAAGAGGCTATTTAAAGAAAGAGAATGCCAAAAAATTTCACAGGAGAAAACACACACATAACGCTTGAGCAGCACTCATTCTTTTCCTAGGATCTTTATTCAATAGTCGCTTGACAAAATCTTTAGCCTCCGAAGTTAGTGTAGGCCAAGGTGCTTCATCATAAGTTGGATCAGCCTTTAAAACAGCCCTGAAGAT